TAACTCGATCTCCTAACGGTAAATTTTGTTTAAATGCATACATGTGTCTTTAAGGTATATGTCTGACTTAGGTTGTCAATTTTTCAGTTCCTTATAGTGCCCGTTATGATGGCCATACCTGAAACTCATACTTATTGCGATATTCGTGATGAGCTTAAGTTTATAGATACACGGTGATGATATAAAAAGATAGTGAAGAAATTTGATAATGTAGCTGTTTTTGTCATTTTCCCAATGAATATATTATGAAATGTCATTTTCACTTAAAATGTACAGCTTTGCTCTCTTTCAAGAGCCAATCAACGGCTTTTTTTGTGATTTTCTTTGGAACTCAACCCCTGACTATTTTATCTATTTTCGTTTATCAATTTTCTTCTTCTGAAGTATTAACCAGATTGGAATATTTATACTTATGCATGTAGTTTAATTGATCATGTGTATAATATCGCATTAATTGTACAATAAATCACTTGTTTCAAAACCACCTTCAGATAATATAACTATCTCATCAGCAGTCATGCCTTAGGATGTAAACTATTCTGTGTCATGTGCAGACAGACAAAAATAATTAGCAATTTCGCACTATGTTGTATGCTTTGAAGTGTCGCATTCCTTATAAAGGACACAGAATACGTTTTGAAACAAATCAAAAGCTTAATTCATGGAGCTGTAAAAAACATGCCTAAAATCTAGTATTGTGTGAAGTTGAATAATAGAAAAAATCTTATAGTATTATTCTGTTTGATCGGTGTGTTTCGATATTATCATGGCTTATATCATATGCAGGACTTAAATTACAAATTGGTTCATCATTTATGATGTATTTTTCTTTGGTTTTGTCATACCATAACTGTTATGTTAATGTGGTACTCTCCAGCTCTATTTGTGCCTCGGGTGCTGCACTAGTTCAGGCATGAGCTGGCACATAAGTAGAACCATCGACGAACCGCAAGCAGGGTGGATTGCTTTCTCACATATAAAAATAATTCAAATTCCTAGGCGGGATTCAAATCTGCCACTGTGACGGGCAAGTGGTCAACTAGTAGTACTTTAACTACCTGACTTGGCCTAATTAATGTTATTGTAAGCTCTTGTAACATCTCAAAAACATTTATATTTTTAAAGTGTATTCTAATGCTCTATAAAACTAAAGTATCGGTTATTATATTATATGTTCAAAGGTAAATTCAGTTTACACTTTCAAATGTTCCTTATTTAAGACATTTCTTTGTTTCGTGATATTTATCAAGAAAATGCTTACCTATTTAAATGAAAAATACTCATAACATATTAAAAATCAAATAATTGTTATTGTTTTTTTATAACAGCGTACTCAATAATGAATGAACTGTTGGGACAGGTAAAATCGTAATCTTTTTAAACTTTTTCTCATTTCATAAATTATCAAGGATAAATAACTGAATTTCTAAAGGTATACTTTTGCATTAAAATACCTAAATATATTACTATATATTCACCTTATCGCATTTACATAATTGGCAATTCTTCAGTCCTTGTTTCATTCTATGAGCTATCTTTCTATTTATCATAAGGTAATTATTTTTTACACGGCCATCAATTACCATCTATAATCTCCTATTATCAAAGAAATATAAAGGTTATCAAGTATCTTAAATTATCAGATTCAGCAGAATATAAAGTTCACGATCATTGAGTATTTAATGATTGAAACACCTGTGTTATGTAAAATTACCGAACACATGTGTTCTTTAAAACAAATAAGAACATTATCACACTAAAGAAGAGTGGTATCATGTTTTAATACTTCCTCTTCAATCTATATTGTATTTACATCCAAAATTGAAAGAGGAACATCTGAAGTTGCGTCACAATCAAGGTGAAGAATGTTTATAAAAAGGTCATCGAATAATTCTTACAGCTTTGTTTCACAATATCCATCTTTATATGTTTCTACAGGGTATATTCATTTTTTAGAATTTTACATGTAAAATTATATATTTTGTTGATTTACAAGCCAAATGTTTTCTATTATATAATAAAGGACATAAATACAAACGGCTATTAAAATCATCTGAAACTATATAATTTTGGAAACAGATCTTTTGGATTATCATAAAAATATATCAAACCATATTCATTCTCTAAAGTCAATTTATATCTCCTGTGTGTTTCAAAACATACTTATTTGTTCCTACATAGCCAACTTCCGTTTGGTGCAATTAAGATAAACTTATTTATTTCCTAGAACGATGTTGCAGCAGCAGATGCTTACTAATCATATCAAAATTCACGTTTAATAGCCTCTCTTAATGTACTACTATATAATGTTCTCTCTCTCTCTTTGATGCAGGATAACAGAAAAATAAACAAAAATTTTAAATCATATTGACGCAGCTTACTTAAACCACGACTATTTTTCACATTTCTTTTGCAAGATGTTACCTTAAAAATTATAGAACATTACGATTTTAATCTCCAAGTAGAGTGAGCTTTGTAAGATGATTTAAAATAGCAGAAAAATGATAATTTTCTCGTATTTCTGCCCTTAAATTTTCTTAAATTTTATCGTTAAATTATCAGCGACTTTGATACCATTGATATGTTAAACTAAAATTACACATACAAATATAATGTGTTAAGGATAAGACTGAGTGTAAAAACCATAACACATAATATGTTCAAGAATACATTATCATTTAAGCAATTGATGTCTAGCAAAAGTAAGTAAGATATAGTACAGACACAACAGTTACTGATAAAAAGTGTTTGAAAAATACATAAATATGAAAGAAAAAATTGTAACAGCTACTATGATACTTGAACTATCAATAATTGTTTTTACTTACATTCTTCATATACTGGTATTAAATATATTGAAAATGTACATGTATATTTAAATCTGATATAACATCCTAAGTTTTTTAATATGAATTGTCATAAAGTATATTAAACGAATAATTCTGATATTGCAAGTTGTTTGCTTAGCTTTTTTTTGTTTTTCGTCTATTCACTGATACATCCTACTTACCCTTATTGTATATACCAGTTCACATCTTGGAAAGAAAATGCTTGCTTGTTATGTTTCTATGTTGTATTAAGTCATCACATAAATAATTTTATGTTAATGTGTCGTATAGACGATAGATGAGAAAAGGATTAAATTACGAGGATATAAATATATATTCAGTAAAATGGCTTTTTTCCATGAAGAGATATGTAGAAACATTGGAGTTACGTTCTATGGTTGTAAAAATCAACAACAATTAAATCTACATATGTAACGGTTTTTCCCGTCAAGATAAAAACTAATTTGTCAAGCTGTCCCTTGGTGTTCAACCCGAACATTTCTTTTCCGAAAGATAATTCATTAAATTGCCTGTTTGTTAAAGATAACTGTTACACACTATATAAACAAACACATCAGAAATGCATTAAAACATGATTCCCAATCACGTCTTGTTTGCTTTCGTAGTATCATTTACCAATATCGACAAGACTTGATATTGTCTTCTATCTGTAGACAAACAGAAAATATAATTCACTGGTAAAATCGCTCGTTCAATGTTATTGGCATCTTGTCATTGTGAAAAATAGACGTTCAATTGCATGGAATATGAAACACATTTTCTTGTATATAAGACAGGATTATCTACCGTTTACACCGATGCTAGAAAACCTGTCTTACATCGCCATGTAAGAATAGTCGCGTGCTTCAAATGATGTCAATGCCGCGTGCCTTTTATGTATGAATTGCGTTCTTAAGATGGCGTCATTTTACCGTTATGAATGAAGTTGTAAGTTCATACGCTACTTTAAGAAAAAGTGCGTAATACAAATGTAATAAAAATATCAGTTTTCATAATTTCTGTTCCGAAAACAATTGACATGTTATATGCAAGAACAAGAATCAAGCACCGGCTGTCGGTACAGACGGGAATATCTAGCTCTTGGGTAACTGTTTAGGGGAAACTAGACTGAGTCTCGTTACCGCCATAAACAGTTACATTGTCGGTTTGTACCGACAGCCAGTGTAAAATTTTTCTTCTTCTTGGAGACAAATAGGAAATATAACTTACTTGTAAACTCGCTCGTTCGATGATATTGACACCTTGTAATTGTGAAATATAGACGTGCCATTAACATGGAAAATCGAAAAGTTTTTCTTGCGTATCAAACAGGATTATCTATTGTTTACACCAATACTAGAAAACCTGTCTAACAACCCCAATGGAAGACAAGTCGTGGGCAGATTAACTGCTATTAATCATTGATCGCTGTACATTTCCAAGGGTAAATCCTTTTATTTACAATAATAAAATGTTCAGCATGTGATTCAAAACTAATGAACGAGATATCAAACGTATTGATAGAAACTCGAAACGTCTTACACCATGCTTAAATGTCATTAAGCATACGTTAAAGACTGTCCTGGTGTAATATTCAAATTGACACAAGCCGTAAAATCAAAGGAAATCAGCGTTAATGCTCCAATTTGTGTTCCAATGTTGTTGTGTTGATGACATTAATTTCTGCAAAGCTTTAGTTTACAAAAAATATTATTTCACCTCTATATAGCAAATTGAAGGACTGTAAATGTGCACTAAATTACATGCATATTCATGTTTAAGTTGCTCAAAATACTGAAAAAGATATATAGCCAATGTTTTATGTGATATCAAAATGATGAAATTTGAAAACACCTGTTCATTGAAATGTCATATTGTGTTTGTACACATATTTGGTATTGCATTAAGTAAACATTGAGGAACAATGGTCTAACTGTATTTGTAAAGAAAATGATAAGGTAATTTACAGAATACATTCATACATTTATATATTCTGATATATATTTTCGAGATCATATTATGTTCCAATTCTCGGTAACGTTGCTTGTTACTGACTCCTTTCACTCGTTGGTTTTCAATCAGTGACGTCTTTGTATTAACAATTTTTATAAATCGTATTTTCGATAATTAGAAATATATCCATACTGTGAAACTGTGTATTTATGATTACAGGAATGTTATTATATTGGTCTTGGTATGCAATGGCTAAACGTTGTCCTTATATTATCCTTGAATACAGCTGTTATAGTTACAATACTTCGATACAAGAAGAAGTCTCGACTTTACTTTCTTCTCATGCATATGGCAATTGCAGGTCAGTAGCATGTAATTGTACAACATTAAACATGTGTTAATAAAAACGTTTGTCTAAGAATTTTGACACTTGGAATAACAATTGGAAAAAAACAGTCTATACTGATACAGGTTTTCGTTTCCAAAACTTATCTTCTCAGAGAAAAGCCTGACGTGTTTATTTGTTCTATTCATTTCGATGCAGAAACCAATTAGCAAATTTTGCCTAAAGCAAGTAACTTTAATCAAGCAGAAAATTAGAAGTGCATTATCAATTCATTGGACAGGAATTGGGAAAATGACATTGAATTGAATGTATCGTTTTAAAGCATACGATGTTATCAAAGAAAATGTAAGATAAATATGTTTTTATTACTATGTAACAATCTTATAGAAACCTTTGAGAGGCCCCGTGAATGTGTATATGATTTAAAAAGTATATCTAGATATGGGATAGCATGATTGAGTTAACTAGATGTTCAATTTTTGTTCATAGATTTAACAACAGGTATAACGGACGCCTTAGTTAACGCCTTAGAACGATCATTAGGAGCAGAATATCTAATGTACTGGTGGTTTGCTGGGGATGTTGTATGCAGAATTCAACGAACACTGAGTAATACATCTTTGCTTGCATCTAACCTTATCCTTGCTGCAACTAGTGTGGATAGGGCTCTAGTTGTTGCTAAACCAATGCTCAACTTTAAAAGAGGTAAATACATATTCCACTTTTTAATAAATAGCAGCTACTTCGACATTACATTGTACCAAAATTTCTTTTTATGACTTATGCAGCTGAAACGTTCAGTTTTAATCCAAGATAGTAACCTTTATTTGGTTTGATTGCTATTCTATATACAGATATATTCACTTTTAATAGGCAAATATAAATTAAAGCGAATTTGATGTTTAATCATTTATTTTGTTATATGAATATGTGTTATTGTCTGTGTTATTTGTTGTCCATTGAAATACTTCTGAAATTTATAAGCAATCTCAAATAAAATACCGATTAAAACTGATTAGTAAATTTCACTGTTTTTTTCTGATTTTAGGAAATACCTTGCAGAAGATTCTTATTATTTGTTGTTGGTCATTAAGTGCAGCTATTTGTAGCCCATTGCTTAAAATATACCATCAAGAAATAAAGGACCCGTACTTTATTGAAGGAAAGCAAAGTGTTCCAACGTGCACTGAAGGCTTCAAAGGAGACGAATGGAAGGTTTGCTGATTTGTATTGGCTAATATTGAATTAAAGAGCGATATAACTAAAAAGAAACATTAAATAGTCCAAGCAAATGAAAATATTTTTTTAAACTATTACATGAAATAGCTTGTTCTGTTTTGTGTCATGTGTTGTTATAGTACAAGGGCTGTACGAAAAAGGTGTGAACAATAACTGTAAAACAAATACTTAACGCCTGAGTATGGAAAGCCATGGCTGTCTGATATTGCTCTTTTTCAATTTATGTAACCATTTGGATAATATATAAGTTCACTTCGACTATAATATATGACTTGAAAACACCTTCTTATTTAACCGGAATCCATTATATTAATCCACAGTTACAATATATGAAACCATACTGTCAGTGTATGAAACCGAGTTAGCAATATATAAGTTGATTTTCTCAATATATGATTCCAATTCTTCAATATATTGTACCAAAGTAGCCATGTATGGAACCAGATATCCTTATATGAAACCAAATTATCAATATATTAATTCATTTTTACAATATATGAAACCATTTTATCAATGTATGGAGCCGAAGTATCAATATATAAGTTGATTATCACAATATATGATACCAATTATTCAATATATGGAACCAAAGTAGCAATGTATGGAACCAGGTGTCCTTATATGAAACCGAATTATCAATATATTAATTCATTTTTACAATATATGAAACCATTTCATCCATGTATTGAACCAAAATATCAATATATGAGTTGATTATCACATTATATGATACCAGTTCTTCAATATATGATACCAAAGTAGCAATATATGGAACCAAAATGTCATTATATTGACAGGACTTTTTTAAAGGCTGTATTCTATCCTTGCACCGGTATTACAGTTTCGCGCCAATACACTTTTTCATGAAATCAATTATTTATTATTTGACAAGTTATTTTTAAACTTTGTGAGTACATTAACCTTGATGTGTCCTACTGGCCATGCCCATTTTTGATCAAAGGTAAAGGTCGAGATGAACTTATTTTTTAAAAATGTTTTTTGTTAATCTTAAATTATGACATACTTGTTGTAACTCGTACATATATAACGATAAGTTTTGCCTGCCCAGACCATTTTAAATGAATGTGACGTTAAATTTAAATATTTCCTTATTTAGAAAATGTGCAGTATGCATTCAGTCTTTTGACAGTTCAACAAGGAATATTGGCGCGAAACTGTAATACCGGAGCAGGGATAGAATACAGCCTTTAAAAAAAGTCCCGTCAATATAATGACATTCTGGTTCCATATATTGCTACTTTGGTATCATATATTGAAGAACTGGTATCATATAATGTGAAAATCAACTTATATATTGCTACTTCGGTTACATACATTGATAAACTGGTTACATATATTGTAAAATTGATTTAATATATTGATAATTCGGTTTCATATAAGGGCATCTGGTTCCACACATGACTTACTTGGATCCATATATTGAAGATCTGGTATCATATAATGTGAAATCAACTTATATATTGATACTTCGGCTCCATACATTGATAAAATGGTTTCATATATTGTAAAAATGAATTAATATATTGATAATTCGGTTTCATATAAGGACACCTGGTTCCATACATTGCTACTTTGGTACCATAAATTGAAGACCTGGTATCATATAATGTGATAATCAACTTATATATTGATACTTTGGTTCAATACATAGATGAAATGGTTTCATATATTGTAAAAATGAATTAATATATTGATAATTTGGTTTCATATAAGGACACCTGGTTCCATACATTGCTACTTTGGTTCCATATATTGAATAATTGGTATTACCAACTCATATATTGCAACTTTGGTTCCATACATTGATAAAATGGTTTCATATATAATTGTAAAAATGAATTAATAAATTGATAATTCGGCTTCATATAAGGATATCTGGTTCCATACATGGCTACTTTGGTACAATATATTGAAGAATTGGAATCATATATTGAGAAAATCAACTTATATATTGCTAACTCGGTTTCATACACTGACGGTATGGTTTCATATATTGTAACTGTGGATTAATATAATGGATTCCGGTTAAATAAGAAGGTGTTTTCAATTCATATATAGTCGAAGTGAACTTATATATTATCCAAATGGTTAAATAAATCGAAAAAGAACAATATCAGACAGCCATGGCTTTCCATACCTGAGCCCTAAATAAAGTTGTATGAGTGTATCACCAGATAAGAAACATTATTTAGAGAAAATACACATTCACTAAATTTTAAACCATTTATACTGGGTGTGCTTCTGCGGCAAACAACAAAAATCGTCATTTTACAATCCTCATACATTGACGTGTAAAGAGCTGCTCATGTTTTAAGTAAAATATAAATGGTCATGTTTGAATCATTTTCTGCTTCAGTGCTGATAGACACATACGGTCATGTTAAAAAGGTAAAAAAAGTGTTAAGGTAACAATCTTTTACGAGCGTTAGCATACAAGCATACAGATGTGATCAGAAAAGTTGATGAAAGAATAGGGAAATAATATGATGCCCGTCGTCAAGCTGTCGCGAAAAGCGGAGAAAGTGGGAAACATAATTGATAAAGACATACATCATGCAGTATGCAGTGTCTCCGAAAATTGAAATTGTAAAATTGAGAATTTCAAAAGACAATTTGTATATATTATCACGTACATTTAGCAATGGCTTATCAAATTTTAGTAAGAAGCTTTAAGAAGTCGTTGGTCATGCCTTATTTGCGAGCCCTCGTATAATGCATAGATCCCTAATCTGTTTAACTTTGATAAACAGATTAGTGGATACAATAAGAACAACATTACAACCTTTTCATTATCAATAGAGTTAAATCTATTGTTATTCAAATAAAGGGTCAGAGAAGGAATTCATCAATTATTGCAAGATCCAATAGTGTCTCTTTTTAGCTGTTGCTCATGGATTCCCATGTGTTGTCCAGCAAAAATGCTTTTACAACAAACCTATCCGAAGATACTTGAAAACATCTTGTAACGAGATTTCTTTGGGAAAAAAACCCTTTCTTATAATCAAGTAAATAAATATTATTAATACATTGCATTTTTCTTTCAAAGTGTTACATTCAATCAGAGATGTTATATTTCCGATCCTTAAAGATCGTTCAGCAGGACATTATTGTTGTGCTTGTGGTAATTTAGTTTTTTCTATTCGGCTTTTTTCTTGTTGGGTGGTTCCAGTATTCCTCACTTGAATACTGTTGAATCACTCTTAGGATATGTGGCCTGCTTTTTAAATTTGTCTTTTGACGTCTTATCTGTGATATGCAGGCTTCATAACCTCTGATCCCCTTTCAAAATTCCATTTTATATTTCCGCCCATTATTTTCTCGTTTAGGGCACACGCATTTTGTTTTACTTTTGGACCATATACCGCTTTTCATGGAATGGCACTTCCGTGTCACATTGAAGGTTCCATGATAACCGCCATATGAACACATCTGCGGATGTTTCAAAATTCAAAATTGTACCTATTTTGTTTCATTTAAAGATATACTATGCTCAAATTTGATATTCGAAAATATTGATACACAGTCTCTCCGTATAAATAAAATAAACATGTTTTGACTTCACACAAAGAAGATATGTTTAAAATTCTACACATTATAGGTGGTCACAATCTGAATGTATATAATGTCTGTTTGTATTTAGGAAAGACCAACTTTACTTGACCTGTAATAGGAAATGCAGCTTTCTATATATAGTTTATCCATTCTTTTATTTCAAATAAAACATATTCAGTAAGAATTTCATAGATTTCAATACATTTCTTTGATTAAAAATATTTTACTGAAGGTTGAGAGTAGTATATCTTTAAAAACCTCGCACATCTATGGATAAATGAGTTGTTTTCTTTAACTTACAGGTATTTTACGTCTTATATTTGATATTCTTAGTCCTGATACCGTTGTCTGTTATCATCATGAGTTATTCAATACTAATCTACGCTATCTATAAGCGAGCAAGATCCCCACCAAACAGTAAGTATGATTTTGATATACTGTACAGATAAGCAAAATATGTGCATGCTCATTAAATGCATACAGTATAGTAAATAATACTTCACCTTGATGAATTTCTGAATTGTTAAATGATCTGCTGTTTACTTCCTATCGCTGTGTTATTTAAGATCAATTATTAGGCGCGTGTTACGGATTCTGTGGAAATAGGTCATAGAATAAGTATAAGAGATGATCATAGCAATGCATTTTCATTATTTGATAATTTGTTTGATTACCCATTACGTTTTTGTAATTTGATATCCGATATGCCAGTTGCAGTTATTCTAACGGTTCTTTGTTCAAACGTACCATGTGACTAAAATTGTATACTGTTACAAAGGTAACAGTAAAAATCTGAAAAATAAGAGCCTGAAGAGACGGTGTGGCCTCGGGTAACAGTATTTTCCTCGGGCTACTACGGTACATTGACACATCATATCATGTTAATAATGGCGAAAGGACTGAGCATAAAGCAAATGTAAAATTTTGCAACTTAAATATCCTAAGTTATGTCATATATTGTACAACTAATTTATTTGTAGAGGTTATGTGAACACAAAAGTTTTAGTATTGAAATTCATTTGCATCTAATGAATGTTAAGAAATAAAAATGTTATAAAAATTAATTTAGAAAATATAAGTTTTCGGTTTGGTGTCCTGCTGGGCTTCTTGTGATGGTCCTTTGTCGCTGGGTCGTACTGGGGAATGCCTTCATTTAATGCCGTTCTCTTTTTTTGATCTTGCTTTTCATGTTTGTCTTGCAAATAAGAGAAAAGAGAAACATAGCGTAACATATTGCAAGTAAGAATGAAAGATGGTTGTAAATTTTTTTTAAATTTTTCATATATTTCAAGGTATTCATGGGGTTGACAATATGAGAATAAGTTTAGTATTCAACAGAGGACTCCCAAGTTCAAAACGACGGAGCATAAAGTTGACATTTGGTATAGTTCTAGGTAAGATAAAAATCACATACTTAGAGAATTACGTCATTTTTGTATGTTATTGATTTCCACTTTTGATAAAATATTACGTAATAAAGTCGAAACTAGTAAAATGTGTTGATTTTTTTTCTGCATTATTAACAGCTATAGTCTCATGTAAGAACTCAACACAATTAATTTGTTGAATTTAATGTACATGATCTTAAAGCAATTGCAACTATACTGACACTTACCGTGGTAAATTTTATTCATTGCCTTTATGTCATTATTGTCATGAACTTATAATTTCAAATTTCAGGTTTCATCGGTGCCTGGTCTCCATTTTTCATCATACTGTACATGAATATATTTCATAACTTCAGTAATCCAATTGTTATGCTGTTCATACCAGCGTATTTCTGGAACTGTATCGTGAACCCGATAGCTTTCTTTATATTCCATAGACGAAGAGGATCAAATACAGCGTGTAGTGTATAATTCTAGTGATGCGGTTTTAAGACGATTTGCAGACTCAGCAAATTCTTCAAGGAAGTACGCCTATCAGAGATATAGAGAAAACACTTTTTGAAAGCAAATGTCAAAGAGAATAGTTGCTAGTATTTTGAGATAGGGCAGTAATATATTATCAATCATTATATTAGTCTTGTTTTTTATTCAATGTATTTTTGTGATATTAATTATATATTTATTTCTTTGTTTTTCGTTTCTTTTTTTGGATAAATTGTTGAAAAATACAAAATATAACAATTCGGGAAAGTGTAATGCAACAACAATGTATAAAAAGCAGTGTTGGAAAGTAGGCCTGCATTCAAAGATGAAAAAGAGGAATCAGACATATGGGTTTCTTATAGGAAGAGATGCAATATTCGTGGAAAAATATTTTGGCAGGAAAACAATTCATCAAAGACTACTATGATTTTAAAAATTTTGTAAATATAAAAACGATTCAATTTTAAATCATCAATTTTCAAATTGTTTGCTTTGTTTAACAATGCAGGCAAATGATTGTTCAGTAATGAATGCTGTATTCTATGGAAACTCCAGGAATTAATTTCAAAAATATAGTTAGTGTGAGCAAAGTAATGAAAATGATTGATCATATTGATATAATATTGATAGCTTAAACAAAAGTTTATACATGTATCAAATAATTGTTTCAAAACAATCAAAAGAAAATGCAATGTCGTCCCTTTTCTTGCTTTACTGTTTTCAATATTATAATTATAATATTATACTCGTACAAGTCATGTAAAATTCTTAATAATTGCAGATTACCATATGACCGCCGGCATAAGAAAATATAAGAAAACAGCCCTTCAAGTCAATTAGTTTTATTTATATATTTCTTAAATCTTTAATGGTAAACAACTGGAGGTTAAGATTTGCCTCATGTGGATTTAAATAGGCTAGGATCTCACAAAACAAATCTTATGAAATAATAAAAGCAAATACAGTTATTTGAAAAATATACTCATTTAAAAATCTAATTTTCATTTATTTCTTTGCGTTAAAACTGTATACTCAACCAAAACGTTACGGTATTATATTAGCCAATATCTTCAAGATCACACTTATGCATTGGTTATCTTTATGTCTTGTATAGTCTGATTTTATTGACCTGTCAATTATGAATACATTATAGCACTCATTTAAATATTCGATCCCACTTCGGTTTGGTCCGTGTAGTTTACGAGAATTAATGTATATTAGTATATGTGTATATTAGTCATGGATTGAAAGTCACGCCAGCTAAATGTGAAGGTTTTCGTTAATTCACAATAGCACAGTCGGTTACGAGAATGCCTGATAATTGAGAGGTCTGTGGTTCGATCCTTACTGTTGCCATTGTTTTAAACCTACTAGTACTCTTTCTTTATTTTTGAAGTATATTTTAAGGGAACAGATTTGTTGTTTGTTTTACGGCATTGAAAAGACATTTATTGATTTTAATTCGTTTTAATTTGAAGCATGAATTCTTAAAATATGTCATTTAAAAAGAGTATAGACTTAACAAAATTAAGTAAAACATAATAAAACAAAACGAACGACAATAAAATTAATGATATATAGCTTCAATAATGTTGAAAGTATTAATAAGAAAAAAAACATGGACCAACGCGGTCTCGAACTTAAAACACGTGTGGCACGTAGATTATTAACTCGTGCTTTACCCTATTGCGCTATAACGCTGAGTACTTAGTTTATAAATACAAATTAAATTAAATTGCATCCTACAGCGAACATCCCACGGGCTTACCGGAAATCTACCCGAAGATTAATATACTGTGTGCATCGACCGTGTAACCAGTATGTAATTGACAGGTTAATAAAATCAAACAATACATGCTATGAATTCATTATAAATCAGGAATATATTTGATAATAAAACAACTATCTATGCACGAATATTTAGCATATTTAGAAAAATACAAAAATAGCTTTACGAACCTAATATACACATTTGAAAATAATTTGTGGATTTTATGAGTCAACGTTTAAACTAAACGATATCTTGACATACACGCCCATTATTATTAAACAATTGATATTTTGTTTTTGTTTTCAAAAAGTCCTTGTCGTTTCTGTAGAACATCTTCATTTTTTGCGACAATTTAAAATATTCAGTCTCAAAAGGAAGCTTCTTTAAATTACAAAACTTCCATGAAAAATGGAAAGGGAAACAGACAAGCAGAATATCCTGAGAGGAGATTATAAGAATGTTGCTTGTAACCGTTTTTACAATGAGCTTACACGACCAGTGTAGCTATAAATATAATTTTGTTGGAAAAAGTCTTGTCAAAGGTAATCCAAGAAGCAGTGTCATAGAGACAGCATGTGAGAATTTTAATGAAACTCAACAATACCTGTAGACTTTACTTCAGAAAAGCAATTTATCTTACAATAAGATAGTAATGAACCTTTACGATACCTGACATTTATCCCTGACGTTGATATATATAAAAAGTCCTGTATTGCCAAAAGATGTTCAGAAACTGTCAGCAACCAGTCTTCCATTGCCAAAATTAATGCAACCAATGCAAAGAAACATTTGGGATTGGAATTATGTTTGTATGACCCACACTTCTTGGCCCTGTCGTACGGTTCTTTTGTCTTCTCGCTTAGCATTTTTGTTAGAAATAGCTTCTGTATTATTTAATATATTTGTTGATTAAATAAACAGTGTCGTTATATTTTACCTTTTAACCCTATTTCTTAAACAACAATAATAACCAATAAACAAAGAAACATATATGGAAGAGGGAAACAAACAACATGACAAATGTTTTACAAAATTTCACATCTTATCAAAATAGAAATAATAACATTGTATACGTGTATTTATGTACTCTCTTAATTGAATTAGACTTGACGTTTGTAAACATATTTTCTTTTCGAACGCAAGCGTGAAATTGGAAAAGTAAAATCAATATTTCAAGAGCGAATTTGAATAAAACCTTGCAAATGGATAGTTAGTTCTTAGTAATGGTTCGTCTTTCGACGAATCAAAACTTCATTTCACACTTAAACGGATAAAGCATTTTAGAATACTAACATGTCAAATTGATTGTAAATATCTTGCAAAACATTCAAACTTTCATTACCATTTGACTATTGTTAACTTTGTACAAATTAAGAGATGTTTTGGAATAATATCTTGACGTGTTATTTGTAGTTCCTGTGGTTAGAAAGTACTTTAGCTAAGGTGCTATCGTGCTTTTTTTAATCCCCTATAATTAATTATTCTATGTTTTGTTTTAAAGTGAGAAAATGATAACATACCCAAGGTTATAGATCTAATGACAGAAGAAAAAAAACGTTGCTTGATAGTTTTACACCGTTTAGATATAAATATTACAAACCATGTAGTTTTACACAATCTCTTGGACATTAAATAACTAAAATAAGTTATGTTTCCTTGATAAAGACAGTTGAGTGTATGTGCAAAAAAAAAATAGTCGTGTGCTTCTCTGTCTTGTAGACAGTCTCTAATGTTAAACCTAATGCTTACTCACTTTACGGTGAATCATTCCCTATGAGGTGTTATCTGTGTTACACTAGTTCAGATATATACCATCATTCCACTTTGGAAATATTTTATTTCATCATAAAAGAAGAAAAAGCTTCATTATGTATCACGTTTGAAAGGACGTTCCGAACATTTGGCTCCGGTGCCTATTAAGCCGGTAAGGGATATTGTACTTTATCGTTATCCCACATGTGCAAAATCAAACAAAGTCTGCAATTTTCATGTCATTTAGTTGTGATTAATGCTTCCAAGGGATCACTTATCTTCCAGAATTGTATAAGTGATTAAATGTCTGCAAAGCAATCCCATATAATGCTATGTGCATGTCAAATACCTCCGTTCGGTATACAGGATCATTCACGTTCTAAAATGATATATAAATGACGTAAAATGCAAGCATACATAGCGTTGAGGTTTACTTAACAGAATATATCAGTTTACAAAATTTTAACTGATTCACTTATTACAGAATTATTTGCTCAAACTCATAGTTTTGTAAAAGAATTGGTCTACAGACCGGAAATATTCAAGCAATCAAATTTCAATTAAAAATCAATAATGTCATTGAAATATAGATGGGAAGTTCTGATTTTATTTCTTTTAAAAATATATAATGCGCTACGTGTATATATCTACTACTTCAATTCTTGTTTAAAATTTTAAAAAAGGATGAAAGAAATATATTACTAAAGTTTATAAAGATAATCCACAAAATAGTTTCATACCATTAAATACCTTTAAAAATAAAAAAGGGTTCTTTCGTCCGTAAGAATTTTTTCAAACATGTTAGTAATCAGAAGATACATAGAGTATAACTGTGAGGTTAAAATTACTACATCTAGACATAATATTCTACAAAATATTGCTAGTAACAATGACCTAAAGTATTGGTGGAATGATAAAAAAGAATCCTTCGACTGGTGGTTTGAGAAGAATTAATCAAACTTGCTTTCATAAATCATTTTATACCTTACATTGATGTGTCCAAACAGCCGAATTGTTATTTATAAGGAACGACTTTCCCAGGAGACAACCGTATATAAAGGAAATGAATAAAATCAGTACTATACATATACATTAATTTCTGAACCTCATTTCTGATGCTTCTTCTTAGCAAGACACGTGATACATTGTTGTATAAAGGACTCGAATTGATACGTCTGTCTGGGGTATATCTATATCAATACTCGACCTGGACGAACAGTACAAGAACCCATATTTTAATGCGAACTAAGTGCAAAGTAACATAATATATAACTTTCAATGCGTTGATTAATCCTTATATATATAACCTAACATGGATGCAAATTCCTAATGGTTTCTTTGATAATTATTAAGAACACTTATGTGTTTAAAAACATTTTGCGATCTTCTTTATATAACATTGACATATAGTGTTAACAACATGTTTTTTTGGGTCGTGTGCAAATAACGATGTCGTTTTGAGATAATTGGTTTTTATATGATTTCACATTATTTCAACTAGACTTTCCAAATGACAGGAAGCCATCAGCATATAAACAATTACTTCA